GAGGCCTTAGCCCAAGGATATCTACTTGACTTTTCTACATCTGATAGAATTTCTGGTCTCTTCTAGAACCACCTCTAGTTATGATACTGCTCTGATTTTTGAAGCAGGGTATCCCTATGTAACCCAGACTGGCCTTGAACTTCCAATCTTCCTGTATCAGCCTCCCAAGTGCTGGGATTACAAGTGTGAGGTACCACATCCCTCTGAGCTATTCCAGTTTAGACTCCTGCCCACACTGTCACTTATAGGTGTACCCTGATCCATGAACAATGGCAAAGGAAATCTTGGCTCCAAACAGCACCAAAAGGTTTTCCCCTGGTTGTGAATGTCCTACCTGAAGGCCAAGCAATGTTATTTCTTCCTTAGAAAACTTGAATAGCTGTGTAACTGGTCTACCTCCAAAGAGCCTTCCACATCTCAGCCAGAGTGGCTTAAATCCATAGTCTGATCTTGATGCTCCTGTTCTCAAGGCCCATCAATGGCTGCACCTTGCCCGCAAAGTCCACATGTCTGGACAAAGTTCACAAGGCTTTCCTTGACACAGCCTGATAGGGGCTTTCAGTCGGTGGGGAGAACTAGGCCTATCATGTTCTTGCTCCCTTGTGGGTTGGGTCTTCATCCATGTTGTTTCCTCTACCTGGGAAAGCTCACCTCTCTGTCTGCCCACCTCTCACTAAGCCTCATGCCCATTGGTTCTCAGGAGTCAGCATAAACACTACCTTTTTCAAGAGTTCTGTCTGGCTTTCCTGTCGGGAGCTGTTGGGGGCTGTCGACCCCCAGGCCCTGAATTTCTTGTAAACAGCTTGTTTTCCCCTGCTCTGAGCAGCCTGCAGCTGCTCTGAGCATGAGACCCCGATGGCGGAGTGGGTTCTGGTGGGTCTGCAGCTGAAAGATCCCGAGAGCTGGGGCGTGGCCAGAGCACTATAGAAGCTTCCCCTGAGCAGAATAAACACAATAATTCTTGTATCAAGGATGACCTGTGTACTCGTGTCTCTGTCTGTCTGTGTGTGCATGTGATTTTAAGTCTCCAGGTCAGTTTCTGGCTCATGCAACAGGTCCTGTGATCTGTGATACAGGGCACCACAGGACTGTCGGGGTTTTTGTTTTGTTTGGTTTGATTTGGTTTGGTTTGGTTTTTGGAGACAGGGTTTCTCTGTAGCTTTGGAGCCTGTCCTGGAACTAGCTCTTGTAAACCAGCCTGGTCTCGAACTCACAGAGATCTGCCTGCCTCTGTCTCCCGAGTGCTTTTACACTTTCCCCTACTCCAAGTTAGCCCACAGGACTTGATCTCACTTTTCACACGTAGCTGTATGCCTCTGGTCTAGCTATACTTTAAAATATTGAAGGTCTAACCTAGATCCTATATTCTTAATGTATTTGGCACACAGTACTTGCAGAGTGAATGTTGTGGGAGAATTGTCCGTATTCTGTCAAGCATGTTATAAATAAACACTGATTGGCCAGGCAGGAAATATAGGCGGGAAAAGCAGACAGGAAATAAAAATGATGTAATGAGAACATGAGAATTCCAGGAAGGAGGAAGCTGATTCCTCCCACTCCTGCCCAGACCACCAAAACAGCAAGATGTGATCTGCCCCACTGAAAAAAGGTACTGAGCAACATGGGTAACATAGATCAGAAAAATGGGTTAATCAAGATGTGAGAGTTAGCTAGTGAGAGGCTAGAGTTGATGGGCCAATCAGCTTATAATTTATGGAGACCTATGTGTGATTTTCTTTGGGGCTAAACAGCTGTGGGGTACTGGTTGGGACAAAAAAAAAAAAAACAAGCAGGCCTGACCCCCTCCATATTACAGAATGTTATCTGAATGAATGAATGAATGAATGAACAGAGGTCCTTCAACATCTGTCTCCCAGGTGTCCCTGGTAGTTCTCTGGAAGGCCTACCTTGGTCCTATTCTCCTGTAACACACAATTGCCTGAAGAACTCTGACTTAGGGGACAGATGAATGCCAAGGAGCTCAGTTCTTCTGTGACCTTTGCTGTCCTGAACCACCTTCCAACGAGTCTTGTTAACCCTGGAATGTGGCACCCCAGTGCCATAATCGTCAGTGACCACTGTGACCCATGTGACAAGTCCCCAAAGAACAAGGGACTGACTGTCACATTTTTTCGTCTTCTCTGTGTGACTAACGGAAGCTGTCATCCAGGTCTGCAGGGTGACCACTGGTTTTGGCCACTGCCCCTTTTCTAACAGTTTGTCTATTCTTTACGAGGCTATATGGTCCCACCTCTAATGGCAGGTGACAGTCTTTCACCAGGGAAACCCAAAGTTAGAAGGATGCAGAGCCCTGAAGGTTGTGACTGCTGTGGACCTAAAATACGAGCTCAGAGGCAGGGGTGTCGCTCAGTGGTACAGTGTTTGCCCAGCACACACAAAGCCCTGTGCTCAATCCCCAGTCCTCCAATAAAGATCCTACTTTAGAACAAAGAAGAAAAAACATTCATTCTATGCCGTGAGGGATGATGATCCAGGAACACACATGGAAGTCCTTCTGAGCCACTTTAATAGATACGAACAAGAGAAAGCCACAGATCAGTGGCTTCGCTCCTCAGTTGCAGGGTGGGAGCATCAGGTCGGCTGGTGGCAGTGGATTGGAGGAGTCTCTCTCCATCACCTTTCTGTCACTGTGACAAACCCCTGGCATAAGCCACTCAATTGGAGGTGATGCTCAGATGCAGACATTATAGGCCATGGCTGGATGGCTGGGTGGCTTTGGGCCTGAGGGGACGAGAACACCATAGTGGCAGCAGGCCCTAGACAAGCAGAGCTGTTCACCTCACAGCCTGCAGGAAGCAAAGAGACATCTTTCCAGGGCGTGCCCCTAGTGATCTACTTCCTGCCGTCAGCCCCTGCCTCCTTCTTTCTCCTACCTCCTAATAATACTGACAGATTATCAATACAAGGAATTTAGCCATTGGTTAGGCCAGAGCCCTTAGGATCCAATGGCTTCCCCCAAACCCATTCTCTAACTGCTAAGCCCTCAACTCATGAGTCTTTGGGCCGAGAGATGGGAGGACCCTTGGTATCTAAACTCATAGGGCTTAGAAACTGCTTTTGCTCTTTTGCTATAAAGCATTGACACTCCACACTCAGGCTGACAAGCTTGAAAGGTTCTGGGTTTGGGGTTCGAGGGGGACACTGAGGCAGACTGTCCCTTTGGGTAAGAGAATTACTAGACGAGTTATTTACTCCACAGACAGGCAGATAGACAAGCATGGCAGGACCCCGTAGGGGAGCCCAGGCCCCTGTGACAAGAGTAGAAGCCCTTTCTTATAGGATTTAGAGAAAGGAGATTGAAGTTTCCTTTTTTGGCTCACTGTTGGTCGTTGCTAGGGGTAACCAGGGAATGGCAGTTTAAGGGTGTCAAGTGATGGATAAACATCTTTCCAGGCAAGGCATTGCTAGGGGTTGATAGGGTTGGGAGGGCAGAAGGAAGTTGCTTAGCTCGAGGAATCAAATTACTTCAGTCTCTGCAATTGTCACAGTTCAGCAAGAGTGGACAAGCTTTACAAGACGGGGTGGCCCTAGATGACAACAGTAACTAAAGCAGGACAAACACCTGACACCAGTGTCTTGGTTTCTGTGTCTTGTCTGTCCTTATTGTGGCAGAAAATGCAGAGATGAGTCATTATTACCCTTAACCTTTTCTCCAGTCACACCTGGGATTCCCAGAACAGCAGTGCCCAAGATGGAGGCAGGGTGGGGGAAGGGAGTACCGTTCTCCAGGCTGAGGAGGTGGAACCAGGTTGTTCCTTCCCATCAAGCAACGAGGGCAGGGACAACTTCAAGACCACCTTGCACAGCCAGAAAAGAGGCAGTAGTCAACAAGACCACAACTTGACCAAGACTGCTTAATTATTCAGAACGTACCCTATTTTTTTCTCTACTTCAGCCTGAAGTTGCTGTCTCTAGACCCCTCTATTGGTCGCACCTCCCAGCATCCCCACAACCAAATCTCTTCTCACCGCTTTAATCATCTCTCTACCGAGCGTCTGTGATGATGGGCGGCCCAGTCAGCATTCTGAGGATGCTGTTGGGGCTTAGGCTTTTTCCATAAAAAGTCCAGTTAAGAAACCATAACCCTCCTCTGTGGGCTTCAGATGATATCTGACCGCACTGTCCGCTTTAGGCTTCGTGGAGGTTAAGCCCCATAAAGCATTCTGAGGAATTTATCTCTCAGTCCTAAAAGAGTTAGGTCACATAGAAAAGTTAAAGTAATTGGCTACAAGAGGCCCTAAAATAATCCCAGGTAATTTTGACTTGGCCCTACCTATAGCATTCCATATTTCCACTGCCACAACAGTCTCCAAGGTCAAGGCCAAAGCCAAACAGTTCACTGGATCTTTAGATACAGCTTCTTCAGAGAATGTCAATTCACATGTCCCCACCCTGTTTCCTAGGACCAGGTGTACACTGTGGGAAGCCTGAGCTCTAGCCTGAGACAGAGCTGGGATCCACCAGTGACTAATGGAATCACCTTGGACAAGTCACAGGAACTTTTTTTTGAGATAGGTATCTCACTACATACCCCTGTTGGCCTTAACCACTTCTTGTGCTCTTCTCGTGGAAGAGCTGGCCCTGCCCCTTCCTGTGGTGGGGGTGGGGCCGCACCTCACCTAGGCAGCACAGTAGAGCTAGCCCTGGTAGCATAGGTGTGGGAGAGCTGGGCCCTGAAGGCAGGAGCATGGGAGAGATGGCCCTGGTGTCATAGATGTAGGAGACCTGCCACGTCCCTTGCCTGGGTAGAGTGAGATAGCTGGCCCTGGTGGTACAGGCACAAGAGAGTGAGCAGGCTGACTAACTCAGCTACCACTCAAGTGCAGATCCAAGGCTTTGAGTTGGCCCACCCCAACACCTACCCCATTTAGGAACCGCTGAAGCATGTGAAGGGACCGGTCCTGCAGAACCAAAGCTGTGGAACCTCATGACACAAAACAACAGGATATCAAAGAGGAGTCCTGGTATTGATAATCCAGTATTGATAACCCAGAATTGATAATCGAGTAACAGATGCCAGGGGCCTCAAACAATACCAATGACTCGTTCATAGCGATGAACATTTGCAGGTAAAGCTGTGTGAAACACAGTGACACAGTGCAGCATCCATGGCGAGATTTGTTTTCTTTCCTTTTGTGGGGGGAAGGCTGCAAAGGCAGAGGGCAGATATGGAAGGATGGGAAGATGAGTAGGAGTGGGGTGCAGGATGTAAAATTCATAAAGAATCAATAAAAAGATAAACAAAACAAACCATGTGCTCTTCCTGTCTCAGCCTCCCAAGTGCTGGGATTCTAAGTATTTGCTACCACCTCTCAGTATCAGAGAACTTTTTCATCCTTTGGTGCCTTCTTAATATTATTATGAGAGTTAAATGAGACCTCTGTGCAAAGGAACTTAGAATACAGTAGGTCCTCTGATCAATGACAGATTCTATGTTTGCATATAAGGAAGACAAGGACCTAGTGAGCATCCCTCGCTCTCCCAAATTTTTGTCTCACTCCATCCCTTCTGCCTCTTCCTTCAAAGCCTGTCCTCGGGGCTGGAGAGATGGCTCAGTGGGTAAGAGCTTTGCCTGCTCTTCCAAAGGTCCTGAGTTCAATTCCCAGCAACCACATGGTGGCTCACAACCATCTGAAATGAGGTCTGGTGCCCTCTTATGGCCTGCAGGCATACATGCAGACAGAATATTGTATACAGAATAAATAAATATTTTTTAAAAAGCCCGTCCTCTGCTGATGTATTAGATACGTTTCTATTGCCATGATAAAAAATCATAACCAAAACAACTTACAAAAGGAAGACTTAACTGAGCCTACTGTTTTAGAGGGTTAGCGTCTTGGTGGCAGAGCAAAAACCATGGCAGCAGGCACAGGTGAGAGCTCACAGCTTGATCCATAACCACAAGGTAGAGAGAGCTAACTAAAAATGGTGTGGGCTTTTGAAACCTCAAAGCTTGCCTGCTCCAGTAACACACCTCCTCCACACTCTTTCCAAACCCTTCCACAAGCTGGTGACCAAGTATTCAAACATATTCATCCCTGGAGACCATTCTCACTCAAACCACCACAGCTGGGCTGTTCTTCCCCTCCCATGGTGGACTAGTTACCTTTCTCATTGCTCTGACCAAAATACCAGGCAAGAAGCAACACAAGGTGGGAAGCGTTTATTTTGGCTTTTAGTTCAAGGAGACACAGTCTATCGTGGTGGGGATAGCAGGGCAGTCAGCATGTGGAGGCATTTGGTCACATTACACCCACAGTCAGAAAGCAGAGAGAGCTGAATGGTGGTACTCCATTTACTATCTCCTTTTTTACTCACCTGAGCCCTCAGCCACAGGGATGAGCCTTCTCATACTCAAGGTAGGTCTTCTCTCTTCAGTTTAACCTTTCTGCCAACACACTCATGGACACACCCAGAGGCATGTTTCCATGGTGATCCTAAACCAATCAGCTTGACAATGAAGATTAGCCATCACAGGAAGGAGCAAGACTCAACCATTTTCTTCTTGGTCCCACCATTCAATGAGTGGATGGGTTCTCAGCCGAGAACAACGCCTGTGTGTTGAGGGAGGGGCATGATGAACTGTTTCCACTCTTTCTGCTCTCTCCAGAACAAATGTTACAATCTGCTTTTCCCTGCATGACCTGAAAACAAACACCCCTGGGTACAATAACAAATTTCTTTTTTTCCAAAGACTGCAGTAAATATAAGATAGAGAAGGGATACATAGTATTCCTCTAAGTATGGGATAGGGAAAGGATACATAGTATTCTATCAACACGGGTGTTAATCCTACTCTTTGGGAAATTAGCCTAGTCTTACCTATAGGGATATTCACCTCCTTATTAGCTTAGTTTTTATTGTGAAATACCACCTTGTTGGCCCCAAAAGACTTCCACCCGAAGCAGAGGCTGATAACTCTTGGTATAATTTCGCGGCTCCTCACTTTCTCCTTTAAGAAGAGCGGCTTACCTTGCTGCGCATCCCACAGTCCACTTCCATCTCCCTACTTGGAGGCTCAGCCCGCGTGGGAACACCCACTCAGCATTGATTTCCAGCCTGAAAGGCACTGTTTGGTCTCAGCTTGCTGCAGAGATGACTAACACAAACCCAAAGATAAATCACCCAGGTTACCAGCTCCTGCCTGCCAACTCTCTCCCAGACCTGGTGACCTCCTCCAAGCCCCAGCCCAGCCCAGCCCTGGTCTCCTGGAACTGGAGTTGCATCTTGTGCCCCTCTCTATCCACCCGAAATGTACCAAAGCCCACATGTCTAGACCAGGGCTTCCCAGCTTGGGTTGGTTGTCCCCCTCTTGTTTGGTTTGCACTTTTGTGCTGCGTGGTATTAATGAAGCCATCTTCAGACGAGGCTCAATTCCCAGGTCTGACTATAACAAGATCTTCCCATAACTGAGCAATATAACACACCCCCACACCCCATTGAGAACCTTCTCAATCTATTACATTGTGACACCACAATTTCTCTAATTTTTTTTTTAGTACGCAATAACAACAAATAAAATTCCCTTCCAAAGAAAGAGAACAGTCACCCACACACACACACACTTCACAACCCGCCCCCCAACTCTGGTGAGAGTTAATTCCCCCTAAATCTCAAACCCCTCCGTTTTGGGAACAACCAATAACCAAGCGCCTGTAATGGCCTCTCCAGCTCACCCCACCCCACCATCCACCCCAATTTCCTCAATCTGCTCAGCAACCAGAGCCATTAAATCTAGAAAACTAATTTGTAAGGAAAACAATGAGAAATGCAATAGTTTCTCCGTTGGATTCTAATGCAAAGTCCCACCAGGACCCGGCCCGTTGTAAAGAAAGAAGAGAGGAGCCTGGAGAGAACCGCCTATTAGCATTCAAAGCTCCAGCACTTGGGAAGCTGACCTGCTGCAAAATGGAAATTTGCCCTAACCCGCAGGGGCCAGCACTCAGGTTCGAATTATTTATCCTGCAAACAACAAGCAATCATGGGCTCGCTCCCCTGCAGATCAGGGGGGGCCTTCAGAGTTTGCGCTGTTGGCGATGTCATCCCAGGACGCGTGCCTGGGTTACTTGGGAGCAGAGCTATTTGGGAAAAGAAAAAGCCTGAAATAAAGCTGGGGAGGGAAGAGAGAGAAAGAGTCAGAAAGGCCCGAGGGGAGAGAGACACCGGGAAGACAGGCTGGTGGTCTTTGCCCAGCCCCTCCTGACAGCCGACCTTGCCTTCTGGGAAACTCTGACGAGCTCTTTTCCCCCGTGGAAGGGGGCGGGACTCGGAGATTGGTAGATTCACCTTGAGTCATCCAGTGAGTCACTAGTAGGAGGCAGAAATAGATCGTATGAGCCACTGTTCTTTGTCACAGCATCTCGTTTCTGCAACCAGGACTCCTAGGAGGGGAGGCATCCAAACGCTCCGCACAGCCAGGTTGCTTCATTTGATGAGATGACTGTCTGGTTCTATTCCCAAGGCAGACGATTGATTGCAAGCCAAGGCCCAAACACATTTTTTTTCTGGGCAAGTCAACCACTCTCCTCACATCAAGTACACCTGTTAGCCACCCCGTCAAGGTCCAGCTCATTTGAGCCACACATCCAGTCCACCTGGGACGCTCAGCTCTCCCTGGGAGCACACCCATCCCAGAAAACCTGCCTTGATCACACCCACTCCAATTCTCTCTTTTCTCTAGCTGTAGTCTTTTAGGGCTTAAGACAGGAATGAAATTGTCTACCCGACATCCCGGGTACCTTCAGTCCAGTGTCCTCAGAGTGGACTTAATCTTGTTATGTACCCATTCGTGGTTTGGGTCCGTTTTAAAATATAGGCTTTATTAAGATTCTAGTTGCCATGGAAAGAAAATAGTTTGTTCTCACAGTTTTCTAGAGAAAGCAGTGTGCCACAGTTTCCAGTGCCACCTGGGGACACCCCCAAGGGCATTCAGGAGGAGCAGGAAGAGATGGGAGCTAAGGAAAGTTCCCCTAAAGTCCTTCTGCAGCGTGAACAGTGGCGTGACCAGGTGTAGGACTAACTGAACTTCAGCTAGCTCTGGAGCCTAGAGACTGTCTCCAGTTGCCTCCTGGCTGACTGTGGGGTGGTTAGAGCAGGTGGAGAGAGGCCTGAAGGACAAGAGCCTGGTAAAAAGTACTTTGGAACATGGACTCTGTATTAGTTAATCTGCATAAGAAAGGCCAACACACGCCTGGGCTAGCAGCTTCCTGTGACCAGTACCTGAGGGGCACTGAAAGGAAAGTTTTCCAGGAGACAGCAACATCCGGAAGGCAGCAACTACTTTTGGAGTTGCTGCAACCATTTTGTGATCATGGGAGAAGCCAGCTGCTGAGTTATGCTACCAAGCTGCGCAGTCCTGAACTGCCTACCTCTGATGTCCTCGCACCATGAGCTAGCAAATGCCTGCTTTAGCCTCTCCTGTTTCATCACTGTACTGTCTGCAGCTGAAAGCATCCTAGGACGATCTCCTGTCCTTCAGTTTACTCTAAACTTCCTAACCCTGACCTATGTTCTTGAACTAGAATTGCTCTTTAGAGAATGGGTTCGTCGCTTGAAATGACATCACCCCCAAGGTTATAGGAACTGCAGAGCGCATTGGAGTGGGCCTTCACAATTGTTTCCAGTTTTGTAGAATTTGGCCTCATTCGTTGCTACAGAACCTTCCCAGAATCAAGTAGAAAGCAAAGACGGGCGCCCTGAGCCCAGCTGAGAAGGGGAAAGGACCCGTGTACTTTCTCTCCTGACTCCAGGATCTTCACAGCCCATGTTTTCTCTTCAAGATGCAGTCGGGGGCTGGAGAGATGGCTCAGTGGTTAGAGCATTGCCTGCTCTTCCAAAGGTCCTGAGTTCAATTCCCGGCAACCACATGGTGGCTCACAACCATCTGTAATGAGGTCTGGTGCCCTCTCCTGGCCTGCAGACATACACACAGACAGACTATTGTATACATAATAAATAAATAAATATATTTTTAAAAAAAAGATGCAGTCGGCCTCAGGTGGGTGCTATACCTTGGGAGAGGGGACTTGATTCAGTATGGATGAAGGGAATGAAATGTAATTTCTATTCAACTGCAGGACCACTATCTTAGAAGAGAGAAGACAAGGTTTCTTAGTGCTGCAGGGACAATAGGCCATGACAGAGAGAGCTTAGAGAGTGCACCCGAGACTTGGAGTTTACATCTTCAACACTGAAGGGAAACACACACACTCACACACGTGAACATGTACACACACTCAGACATACTCACACGTAAGTTCACACAAACACACACAAACATCCCACATACACACTTGAACAAGCACAGCCACACAGACACAAACACACATGCATGAGCATGCACACCCACCCAGACACACATACACAAACATGCACATACACACATATGTACATGCACTCACATACACTCACACACTCACACATACATTCACACAAACACACGCACATGAACACGCACACGCACAAACATGCACAGCCACAAAAATACACACAAACATATGCACACATGCACATACACATACAAACAGGCACACACACACACACACACACACACACACACACACACACGACAATGTTTCTAGACTTGGACCGGCTACTGTCCAGCTATGTGCCCTGTGTCAAATCACATCACAATTCTAGGCTTCAGTCTTCTCAACCATGAAATAAGGGAACCGAACTAAATTATTCCTAGTCACTTCAGATTCGCTTTAAAGAATCCCATGATTCTAAATATAAACAGATCGTCTCAACCTTTTAACTAAATGTCTAGTGCCCGTGACCGTGTCCACTGTTAGAGAAGAAGACTGCCCTCAAATCGAAAGAACCAGTAGTCGATGGTTTTGTGCACCAAGATACAGAAGTTAGTGCTGACCATCATATTAAGGCTATTATCACAGGGTAGAATCAGGACTCTTTTTCCTAAGTCTACAGTACTTTCGACTGTGATCTCATCTGGGAATAGGGCTGCTGCAGATATAGCTGGGTAAGTTTATATGACCACATTAGCGTAGGATCCGTCTTTGATCTAAAATGACTGAGGTCTCGACTGGGCCTGTGGTATACACTTGTAATCCCAGCACTTGGGACCTGAGGCAGGCAGATTCTGTAAGTTTGAGGCTAGCCTATGCTACATAATGAGTTTAAGGCCAGCCTGGGGCACAGAGTGAAATCACACTTGATGTTTATTTACTGTCACGTTGAGTGGACTTAGAATCAGAGGCATCTGTCAATGAGGACACTTCTAGAGAGGCTTACCTGAGGAGGGAGGAGTCTCCGTGAATGGGAAGTAGGTGGCACCACCTCATTCGCTAAGGTCCCAGAGCTAATAAGAAGGAAAACGGGAGAAAAAATGGTCACCAGAATTCTTCCCTTTCTACTTTAAGACTGTGGATTCCGTGTGGCCAGGACGTCATGTTCCCTGTCGCCATTTCCCCACCGTGATGGACTGCACTGTCAGACTGTGAGCTGAAATAAAGCCCTTCTTCCTCCCCTTGCTCAGGTATTTTATTACACTAAATGAGAAAATTAATTAACACACCCTGCCTCCAAGAAATAAATAATGGAAAATAATTAAATAAAGTACCAGTATCTTGATAGAAAAGGGGGAGATAGAGATTGAATAGCACATGAAGACAAAGGCACCCGCAGAGTTAGCTCCAAGCCCAGGAATTCTAGAGTTGCTAGTGAACTCCAAAAGCTGGAAGAGGCCAGAAAGACGCCTGCTGTAGGAGGAGCATAACCCCATTCTTAACATGGTACCCAAGTTCCCAAGTCTAGAACTACGAGGCACCAAAGCTCTGTTTGAACCATGCAGTTGGTAGCACGTTGTTATAGCAGACTTAGGGAATGAACGTACCCACCAATAGCTAGGGCTTATTCAGATGCTTACTATGGACCAGGAGCTATGTGAAGTGCTCTGTATGCTGCTCACTCAATCTTTGCTGAAATCTTGGAAAGACATCAATGTTTTAGCCATGTCTTACAAGTGATGATATACAAATATCTCCACAACCACCCATGCCAGGGTGAAGTTCATCTTTAAAAATTGGGACCCCCAAAAAACACTAATGACAACTTATGCTGGAGAGGATGTAGGAAAAAAGGAACACTCCTGCATTTCTGGTGGGAATATAAGATGGTACAGCCCCTTTGGATTTCAGTA